GAAAAGAGATTGAAATAGAAAGATATGATAGATATGAAAGACAAATTGCAAACTTTTATAATAACAGACAAGTTGCTCCTCTATCAAATGATAATACTCTTGCAAATAATATTAATGAACTAAATTAAATACTAATAAATAATAATTGAAATAAAAATAATTTAGTCAACTTGAGAAAACAAAGATATAATACTCTATTGTATGATACTATTGAAAGTAAAATAAAAGAAGATAATAATAAACAATCATTCAAAGATGATAAAAAATATGATCTATTAATATAAACTTTGAAACAATTTTTCCTAAACTTACCATATACTATAGAACAATTGAAAAATTTAAGAAAACAACTATTATTAGAAAAGAATCATATTAAATAGAAAAAAAATAGATAATGTAAATGATGTTTTCAAGTTACTATTTGATGAAAAAACAAAATATAAAAACAAAATATCATGTTTGATATGAGAACTGCTTTTGGGTTATATACAAAAATTTCTTTATGATAATTATATTGAAACATTGTTAGATGATGATTATTTTAATAATGAAATTATTAAATTGACAGACTCAAATGAAAAAGATATTCTACAAAACCTTCATATAAAAACTGCTAAAATTTACAAAGACAAAGAACAAGATTAATACTTTATTGATAAATCAAATAAACAATTTTATTTAATATGTAATATTGAAGATATGAATGAATTTGTTAATAATATAATCAAAAAAAACAATCTATACAAAACAATAAAAAAAATATTTGATCAAGAAAATGATGTAATAACTTTTAGTAAAATGGTTAAACCAAATGATAATGAATGAATTTTTTTTCAAGAAAATTAGACCACTAGTTAAAAATTAAGCATATTTGAACAAAATTGATAAAATATTAGGAAAAGATGACTTAGATGAGACACAGATAATAAAAAACAAAAACAAGCACCTAGAAGAATAAAAAAATAAAAGAAGATATTAACATAATAATTCCTAAAACATGACTATTTTTCATAAAGCAAGGTTACAAACTTTTGATATAATAATAAGTGTTAAAGAAATTTTAAAATTATATAAAGCTATTATATTTAGCACTAATAAAGAAATTAGTTATCTAAGAAGCTTAATATTAAATAATATTATCAAATATTCAGATCTATCAATATTTAACAAATATGATATAAAAGCTGAAAAAGATAATAACTTTTTTATAAATGCAAGAACAATAACAAAACAATATTTTCTTGATATAGTATTTAAAATTTTAATTAAAAAAGAAACAGATATAAAATTAGATGAAAAAATAGGAAATATCTTTAATAATCTTGAAGTTTAATACAATCATAAGTACATCTTTAGCAGTTATAGAAATTCAATGAAAAATGAAAGAAAAAGATGATAAAATTGAAGAACTTAAAAATAATAAATAAATTTGAACCAAAACAAAATCAACTAGTATATTTGAAAACAAAACCAAAGAACTTAATAAAGTATTAAAACAAGATTTTGTAAAATTTATTGTAGCTTTATCAACTAGTTTTTTGTCAAATTTTTAACATTTATTTAGACATATAATTAAAACTCTTATAACAATCTATATTTTTATTTATATTTCAAATTGATTTTTCAGTATAGACATGCAATGTATTATAATTTAATTTATTAACATATTTAATAAAATTTAACAATAAAACAAAACTACAATTAAT